ATTTTTGCGCAAGTGGTTGAGTGGGCAGCAACGTGAAACACGGGATTTTTGCATGTTTCAAGCATTTTTGGGCAAGTGGTTGAGTGGGCAGCAACGTGAAACACGGGATTTTTGCATTTTTCAAGCATTTTTGCGCAAGTGGTTGAGTGGGCAGCCACGTGAAACACGGGATTTTTGCATTTTTCAAGCATTTTTGCGCAAGTGGTTTGAGTGGGCAGCAACGTGAAACACTGGATTTTTGCATTTTTCAAGCATTTTTGCGCAAGTGGTTGAGTGGGCAGCTGAGTGGGCAGCCACGTGAAACACGGGATTTTTGCATTTTTCAAGCATTTTGGCGCAAGTGGTTGAGTGGCCAGCAACGTGAAACACGGGATTTTTGCTTTTTTCAAGCATTTTTGCGCAAGTGGTTGAGTGGGCAGCTGAGTGGGCAGCAACGTGAAGCACGGGATTTTTGCATTGTTCAAGCATTTTTGCGCAAGTGGTTGAGTGGGCAGCAACGTGAAACACGGGATTGTTTTTGCATTTTTCAAGCATGTTTGCGCAAGTGGTTGAGTGGGCAGCAACGTGAAACACGGGATTTTTGCATTTTTCAAGCATTTTTGCGCAAGTGGTTGAGTGGGCAGCAACGTGAAACACGGGATTTTTGCATTTTTCAAGAACTTTTGCGCAAGTGGTGGTTGAGTGGTTGCAATCCAACCACTTAGCTGCTAAGTGTTTTTTTTGCTCCCCTAACTCAAGGTCAAACAAGTGTCCAACGGTCGGTTTGGATTGATTTGGATAAGCTCTGGTCCTTGTGGGCTTATGGTTGCTAGCCCAGGTTCTCAACCAAACCACCAACCCAAAAGGATGCGATTGCCCATGTTGCGATGCCCCATGGTTTGAGACAAGCCCAGGGGTTTTTTGATTGAAGCGCGCACACACAGAGACACACCCACAGACACACATGGATGTGCCGCCAAACATCACACACGTCAAAACCAGCCCCGGTTCGGCCAGCAGTTCAGACAAGTTTGAAGAGGCAGAAGTTGTCCAGGCGGTCCCTTCTTGCATCTCTGCCGCTTGATGGGAAACCCGCTGGGTGGCTTCGGGGCAAATGACCCCCCGACTAGCGAGGAGCCATAAACAGTTTCAACCAAGGGAAGCCAAGAGGAGAATTTCTAAGGCCCTGAGTTTGACACATCCCGATCCAGGCGCCTTTCTTCAGAAAAGAAGAAGAAGAAGAAAAAAAAGAGGCGCTGCCATTTGAGGGGGCCAAAATTCCGATGAGGAACACCCCAAAAAGCAACAGTCATTGTTTACCGTCTGCCTATAGGAAGGGGAAATTTGCTCGGACATCTCGGGTACTCAGGACGCCAGATGCTTTTTGTTTTGTTTCGCGGCTTGCGTATCTTTCAGAGTTGTTACCAGAACCCATAGATTGGGTTGGTCTCCCTTGCTGCAACTTCAGGTGCCAAGTTGTATCAGCTCGTTTCACTGACATGGATCGCCAATCGGTTTTTTTTCCTCATGCACTTTACCCCAAAAAACCGGCAACAGTGACTGAAAAAAGCGATCGCAACTTGGCCACCTCGGGGGGTTCTTCTTTCTTCGCCGGCCTTTTTTGGTTGGGAGGGTTCCCTTACTAAAACAGACGATTCAGAAAAAATCGATCGGGTACCAACTTGTTCTAGCCTCAAACTACTGGAGGACCTCGCGGAATTCCTTTCCTAAGGCCGGCCAAGCCGGCGCCGCGCCAGGAGGTGCCAACCGAGCCGACTGCACCCACGGCCTCGGAGCCCGAGAGTTCGGAGGTCGAAGAGCTGGACGACTTCCAGGTGGCGGCCCTGATCCCCGAGCCGGAGCGGAAGCGAAGGGCCCCTGGGCTGAGAGGTTTTTGTTTTTCTTCTCTTTTTTTTTGTTCTCGTACCATTCTGGCGGATTTTGGCTTCACCCGGCTTCGCTTTCATTCTTTTTTCCGATCCGCCCTTTGGGCGGATCGGCTCGGCGGCACTTTTGCCTTTGGTGGGGGGGCGTGGGCCCGTTTTCTGCTCCAGGGTTTGCAGCGAAGGAACTTCTTTGCCCCATGGAAATCCATTGAAAGTCCAGGAAAGCTGGAGTTGGTCCCAGCGCAGATGGGTTCGGTACTACCAGTCTGGCCATCTCAGCGTGCGGGACATGGACACCTCCGATTTTCCCATGAAGTCAAGCTGCGCAAGTTCCCCCCACTTCCCAGGCCGTGTGGAGATCGCCGAGAGTGACGGGTTCCGTTCACGGGTCATCTTACATCCGCTTACAGACCAATGCGTCCGTGACCTATTCGTGAGGCTCCGGAAGTCGAGTCAAACGAGGCCCCTTAGATGGCATGCCATGAACTGGGTTTGTTTGGTTTGTGAAGCCAGGCGTTTTCTTCGGGTTTCCTAGGGGGGAAGCCAACTGAAACCAACGCAGGTTGGCACAGAACAAAGCAATTGGCTGGCAGTCCGGCTTAAGTATGCTGGAGTCAAAACTCGTATTGGAAAAATCGAACAGTTTTTTTTTTGCGGGGGGCGTTGTCTGAGGCCAGTAGACTAAAATTCGGGTGTTTTGGACACCGAACTCTTCTCGTCCAGGATCCGGAGCCAACACCGTCCTAAGCTTCGCCTTCGTTTCGTAAGCTCTGGGATCTCAACCGAGAAACACACCCACGCCGCGATCTGCGGAGGCGGATGCGCGGGGAATTTTGGGAGAACCATTCGTCGTTGGAACGGAAGCCATAGGTCCAAGGAGCGGAGATCCGTGGCAATGGTTGACTCCGATGTGTGACGAGATTTTCTGGCTTTATTTCGCGCCCCGAAATCAGAGTCTGATGCAGGGCAAGTAACGATCTCTTGGGAAACCCCATTTGGCCGACCTGGCCGACCGCCAACCCGGCATGACGTGCTCCCAATGCACCCCCCCCTCCAGTTTTCTCGAAGAGATCCACCAACTGGCGAATGTCCGATTGTTTTCCCTTCAAGCCAGAAAAAGCAAACGCCCCGCAAGACACACATCGCGTCACACACCACAAAACAGGCGCAAGGACAACGTACGCCCCAGACAACACTGAGACGCACAGGACAAACACTAGCAAAAACACAACTCACACCAAGGCACAAGCAGAAACAGAATGAAAAAAGACACGACAAAGGCGCCAAGCACAAGGTATTGTTGAAAAGCTCTACCCAGAAACGCAGAGACCCCCCCCTTCCGGCGTTAAACAAAAAAAACGCGTGCGCGCGCGCCGAATTCGGAAGCGTGGCTTGGCTTCACCCAGGTGAGTGTCCTGCGGAAGCCGGCCGGAAGCCGGGGGCAGTGCGAGCACGGGTTCTCTTGGACTAAGTGCGTGAAGTGCCACGGCACCTCTGCTCCAAAACGGGGCCCCGGGAGCTTTCCGGCACTGGGGTCTTTCCATGGGACGGGGAGAAATACTGCAAGATAAGGGTGCACCAATCATGTCCTGCGCAGCGTAAAGCGGTCACTTGTGTTTGTTCAATTGTGAAATAAGTGCTAAAATGAAGGTGCAGGGTCCTAGAAAGACTGCAATCGCAAATGCTGCAACGCGAAAAGTGCGGGGCTGTGATTGTTTGAGGGCGCCAGTGCGCGATCGGAAGGAACCCAAGGTTGTTTTGTCCCTTTTCAGAGTTGGGCAACAGCTTTCGCTGATTCTGATTTACCCCACAAAATGATTGCCGACCTGAACAGAAATAAATGCCGACAGGACATGGAAGTTACGGTATGTTGTGTTTTTGTGGCTTGGGTTCCAACCCATAAAAAATCAACATACGCAACTTCCGAATCTGGAGAAATGGACTGAAGCCACCGGACGCGGTCCGAATGGCTGAAATTTGGTGGGAAGCAAGGGGATTCCGGTTTCGGGTTCCGTTTAGGGTTCCGTTTCGGGTGCTTTGTTCCGTTTCGGGTTCCTTTTCAGGTTTTTCAGAGAGGCTCAAAAACCCCCCGTTGGACCACCCGCCCTTCGGGATTCCAGAACTCAAGGCAATCGGGAACGTCAATGGCGCAGCTGTGTCGGGAGACCTTTTTGGACAAATCGGCTTCGGTGGGGCATGCTTGACGCGCTGAACCCGAATTGGCTTTGCGCTTTGCCCCCTCCCCAACTATGTGACTTGACTCCAGAAAGCGGAATGGACTTCTTCTCTCAGGAAGTCAATACCTGAAGAAGCTGGGTGTTATGAAATTATCCGTCTTTTTGGGGGGCTTCAAGAAGAAGGGTTGAACCACAACCTGTTGAAGCAAATGGTTGACGCAATATGCCATGTGTAGTTTTGCCAAAAGCAACCGGCTGCTGCGTTCCTTTGCGCGGGCCTTGGCGTATCAATCAGTTTGTGTTTTTTTTCCCACTGAGCCTGACTAACCTGATTCCAAGCATGGCTTTCACTGCGCTAGATGGTTTCTTTGAGCAACGGCCCGTGTTTTGACGGCCGGTTTCTTTCCAATCCATCAGACCCCAGAAACGGAGGCTGGGTTAGTCCGAGGCCGAGGGCAGAGGTCCCCAGCGATCGGTGCCCCTTTGCCAACTTTTTTGGGGGAGAGCTCCCCTACTAAAGTAGACTGCGGGAAAAAGTCGGTACCAACTTATTCTAACCTCAAACTGCTCGAGGACCTAGTAAAATAGGTTTTCATTGTGAAACTGTCCCACCCTAAACGTTATTGGAGTCATGGCAGGGGTCGAGCCACCTGCAGCAATCTTGCTCTCCTCCCGACATCTCCGGGCGAAAGCAGGGTCTTCAAAACGGCATTTTTGAGGTCTCAGAATCGCTGAGATCATATGTTTTTGGGGTGCCTCTTGTTGCTCTCTTGTCATAGTTGGCTAATCTTTCGGTTTGTTACAATGTCAAAGTGGGATTTTGGAGCCCAAGATGGGTGATGGTCTTCTTGAATTTCCCCTTCAACCGCAGAGGCTGGACCAAAGCAGAGTTCGAGAAAGCGCGTGGATCTCGGTTTCCATGTTGGACGTGCTCCCACCCAGAGGTGCTGTTTTTGGCGTGGGCCTCGCGTCAAAGTCATGTTGCGCCCATGTTGGCAGAGTTATCGCCTTTACCATGTCCGGGGCGCGCAAATCCTTTGAACTCGTCTTGTTTTGAAGCAACGCGAGCAGGCGACGTGTTGCGTCCGAACTTCTCAGGCGCATCTCTCCCAGTTGAAACAAGAATATCCCCGATGAAACTCAGGCGAAAGAGCCCAACTCCCCGACTCGATCTTCGCAAGCCAAGTGCGTGTTTCTCCAGCGTCTCCAAGCGAGAAAAAGCGGTGAACTTCCTGAGCGTGGCCAATGTCCTCTGCCCGCTGCTTTTTGTTTCCGGATGTTCCAAGCCTTCCAGACTTCCGGAGAGGACCTGAAGCAGAAAATCCCTTCGCACGAGGTCACGAGGTCCTTTGATTACTTTGGCCTTGCTGAAAGAGGCGTGCCATGGCGTGCCTGTTTTCCCCGTGGAAATCAATTGGGGGTCTGGGGTTGCATTTTCCGTTGGTATTTCTTGTCAGCCCCCCATCATTTTGGGGGTCCCGAGCCAAGCAGCCCAATTTCAGGATGTCCTCACGGTGCTCTGCGGAGGTTCTGCAAGACGTGCCACAAGTGTCCGCACGGCAAGATGAAGTATTTCTGCAAGGAGTGGAGTTTGCAAAGTGCCCGCATCAGTCACTTGGGCGTGGCTCGGTATCAGTCAAACTGGGGATCCGTCACATGGACTTCGGTATTTCATTGTTGCTTCCCTTACAAAGGGTCCGACCCTTATGTTGAGACTGACACACATGTGACGAAGAACCAACCTAAGAACAGGAATGCCAAAATCAGGGAAACTGCAGAGCAAACCTAGTCCAATCATCCAATTAATTCATGCATCAATGAGTGAATTAGTTAATGCGTCTGCCAATGAAGCAGCCACCCAGCCAATCAACCGAGCCAGCCTGGAAAAGTGTCCGTGCTTTTCTGGCCCCGTGAGGACTGCTGTCCGTGTCCGCACGGCAAATTGAGGAATTGGTGCAAGGCGCGGAGCTCCCAATCTGCACAAATCAGAAGATCACGGGCGCGCAGGGTGCCAATCCTAAGGACCTAGAGTCTCCATGACCCCTAGAAAAAAGGGTCACCCCTAAATGTTGGCCCATGACCCCATTTTTTGAGACCGACCCTGACAATGGCTGATCTGCCCCATCTTTTTTGGGTCATGGAGAGTCTAGGGATGTGTGAAATGGTTTGTTTTAGTTTGCTGCAAAAAGTGGAGTTTGCAAAGTGCCCGCATCAGTCACTTGGGCGTGGCTCGGTATCAGTCAAACTGGGGATCCGTCACATGGACTTCGGTATTTCATTGTTGCTTCCCTTACAAAGGGTCCGACCCTTATGTTGAGACTGACACACATGTGACGAAGTGTGTCAAAGAGGAAATTGTTCCTACTGGTAAACCAACCTAAGAACAGGAACGCCAAAATCAGGGAAACTGCAGAGCAAACCTAGTCCAATCATCCAATTAATTCATGCATCAATGGGTGAATTAGTTAATTCGTCTGCCAATGAAGCAGCCACCCAGCCAATCAACCGAGCCAGCCTCGGAAAGTGTCCGTGCTTTTCTGGCCCCGTGAGGACTGCTGTCCGTGCCCGCACGGCAAATTGAGGACGCAGTGCCAGGCGCAGAGCCCCCAATCTTCGCAAATCAGAAGATCACGGGAGCGCAGGGTGCCAAACCTAAGGACCTAGAGTCTCCATGACCCCTAGAAAAAAGGGTCACCCCGTAATTGTGGCCCATGACCCCATTTTTGAGACCGACCCTGACAATGGCTGATCTGCCCCTTTTTTTATGGGTCAGGGAGAGTCTAGGGATGTGTCAAATTGGTTTTGTTTTAGTTTGCTGCAAGGAGTGGAGTTTGCAAAGTGCCCGCATCAGTCACTTGGGCGTGGCTCGGTATCAGTCAAACTGGGGATCCGTCACATGGACTTCGGTATTTCATTGTTGCTTCCCTTACAAAGGGTCCGACCCTTATGTTGAGACTGACACACCTGTGACGAAGTGTGTCAAAGAGGAAATTGTTCCTACTGGTAAACCAACCTAAGAACAGGAACGCCAAAATCAGGGAAACTGCAGAGCAAACCTAGTCCAATCATCCAATTAATTCATGCATCAATGGGTGAAATAGTTAATTCGTCTGCCAATGAAGCAGCCACCCAGCCAATCAACCGAGCCAGCCTCGGAAAGTGTCCGTGCTTTTCTGGCCCCGTGAGGACTGCTGTCCGTGTCCGCACGGCAAATTGAGGACGCAGTGCCAGGCGCAGAGCCCCCAATCTGCGCAAATCAGAAGATCACGGGAGCGCAGGGTGCCAAACCTAAGGACCTAGAGTCTCCATGACCCCTAGAAAAAAGGGTCACCCCGTAATTGTGGCCCATGACCCCATTTTTTGAGACCGACCCTGACAATGGCTGATCTGCCCCATCTTTTTTGGGTCATGGAGAGTCTAGGGATGTGTGAAAGGGTTTGTTTTAGTTTGCTGCAAGGAGTGGAGTTTGCAAAGTGCCCACATCGTGTGTATATGTTTCAATCTGGGGATCCGTCAAATGGACTTGGGTGTTTGCTTCCCTTTCACAGTGTTCCCTTATTTAGAGACTGACCCATGTGAGACGGCGTGTGCCTGGTAGCCAACCCAAAGCAATGCCTACATCGGACCCGCGTGTGATGCAGAGCCAACCAACCAACAAATGATCCGAGCTGGCCTGCGAAGGGGGTTTTAAGTCTTACGCAGCCGCCTCGGGGCTTTTTTTGCCGCAAAGCTTGGGGCTCTGGGCCATTCCCTTTCATTTGATCAGCTTGGACAAGGGGCTCTGAACATCTAGAATCTCGCTGTAGCCAGATGGAACTGGGCCCAATGGTTTCTTCTTGCTTCGGTTTCCAGTCGCTGTGAGGGTGCCTCGGGACTGCTTGGGAAAAAGGAGCCCAACCCATTTTCGGGGCGCGAAGTGCGAAAATTTCAGAGTTCTCCGGGTCACAAGGGCCTAAAGAGTGAGAGGTGAAGAGGCGAGTGGCTTTGGGTTCCCTACCTTGGGCCGGCCTAACCACAAAGCTAGGAATGTAAGCTGTCCTTAACAGGGCTCCTTAAAAGATCTCCGTGTTGCTTGCCCAATTGAAGCATTTTGCTTTTTAGGCTGTCCTTAACAGGGCTCCTTAAAAGATACATCTTGCACACATGTTGTTTTTTCAACACCAAAATAAAGGGAAACCATCATTTTCCTTGTACATATTCCAAGCAACGCATCCGTCCGGCTGTCCTTGCGCAATTGATCCAAGCCCACCGGCGGAAAACGTTTGGAATTCTTTGACCGAGGCGGAATTCTCGGATCGAATTCGTTCACACAAAAGTGGATCGCGTGAATGAATAAAAACATCGACTCAGATCATGTTGGCGGATCCAAATAGAACCGTCCCATAAAAAGGGTGTTCCAAAAGCTCCAAAAGTGGTGCTCTTAATCCGGGGTCATTCAGTCACTCTCAAACCACGGAAAGTTGGAGGCTGAAGACTTGGCGTCGGGTCGGTTGGCCACCTGGGTCACAAATTGCACACCAGCTTTGAGTAGAGACGAGTTCTTCAGCTTCCATAAGAGAATGTCGAGCTTGTTTTGTGTTTCATGTTAATATCCATCATGTCCAGGTGTCTGTTTTTTTGTTCCCAGATCTCAGCCATGCTTCTCAGCTTTTCGCTCGGAACCTCGCTACGGATCAGGGTGTCCAACGGGGTAAAGGCTGGGGATGAGAATTCTTGGGAAGCAAGTTCCGCAAGAAGAAAACGGAGAAGGAACCGCGCCAGGAAGGGTTTGAAGCCTTTGGTTGGCTCACTTCAAAGTCGAACAAAGCCCTCAGATCCCCACCCCCTTAAAAATGGAATTGGGGAGGGGGGTGACCCCTGGAATTCCATTGGTTGTTCCATTTTCCCTTTTATGGGGAAGACTCGATAAATGGAATTGGGGACCCTCCATCAATTAAAAAGCCCCCGCTTTCCCATCGCGGCCATCGCGCTCAGATATTTTTGTTCGGTCGCTGAGTCACAGTTAAGCCCAGCCTTTTTCACCTTGCCGAAAAGGGAGGTGTGCCATCTGCGTATTGTGGGCAAAAGTGACGCAAAGTTCAAAGGTCCATGACCTGCAACTTCCGCGAAGCTTGCACCATGGCACAAAGATTGCTTCAAAACTAGGTCCCCCAGTAGTGCCTTATTACCAACTTTTTTTAGGGGAGGGTTCCCCTACTAAAGTAGACTGCAGGAAAAAGTTGGTACCAACTTATTCTAACCTCTCTATATACTGGAGGACCTTGAAAATGAGGCCCAGCAAATGACCTCTTTGGCGGTTTTTGGGTGTCTTTTTGCACCAACCCTAAAAAGAGTTGTCGCCCTTGCAAAGCACAGCGTGCGGAGATGTCCGGAGGAATGTGCTCGCCCGTGCCCGCACGGCAAAGTTCAGAACCACTGCAAGCTCTGCCAGGCCGGGCAAATCGCCAAAATATCGAACCACTTGCCCAGTGGCTTGCTTCCTTCTTTCGGGGAAGGATTCCGATTCCTTTAAAGTCAGCCAGCCCCAAAAACTGGATGCCAACTTTTTTCCCCATGGCTGGGCATCTGAATAGGGGTGGGTGTCATTTTTGAGGCTCGTGCCCTTGGGATGGCGGTTCCTATTTGGCGCCTCCGGCTCATGGCGGCGGCATCAGGTCGTTGTAGTTTGGGGGTGCAGGGTGTGGCTGTTGCCGACCCGTGTTTCCGAGTCATTGAAAGTTCATGAAACCTTCATGTTCATGGAAACGTCATGGAAATGTGATGGAAAGTTAGTTCATGGGAAATTCCTGGAAAGTTCATTGCAGGTTTTAAGATTGGAAGCCACTCAGATGTTCAGAGTTTAATCCGTTGGAGTTTTCAGGCTCGCAGCATTTGTTTAATGTTCAGCCATTAGTATTCAAACACGTGCGACTAAGATGTTTTCAGGTTTTCAGCCAGTACAATTCTTAGGTTTTACGCCAAGATTCTAGGCTATTTTACGCAACTAAGGTTTTAAGATTTTCCATGAAGATTGTAAGGTTTGAAGCCGTTACTTCAATAGTGTAAGCCATGACTGTTTTCAGACCATCCACAGAAAAAGACATCATCGGATGCTCTTGAAATAGATCCAGGCATAGCAAGACCGGTTTCCACTGGTGCTCCCTCCTTAGGGATCAAGCAGCGCCGGTTTGGGACTCATAGCGGAGCCAAATCAAGATGTCCGATGGCGCAGCTCAAGTGATCGACCGAACAGCCTCCGTGCGACGGAAAAGTCGGCTGGCTCAGGTATGAAGAACTTGTGGATGATTGCGCGGCATTTACCACGATTGAAGCATCCAAGAGAGGACCTCTTGTGGGAGATGCTTCCGTGTACAAGGAAGTCCTTGATAACGAGTTGCTTCAAGATCCCGCCGAAGGAGTCAACTACTTCAAGAACACGCTGAAGAAGTACTTCCGGAAGGGCACGACCACGTGTACCTTTACCGACTTCTCAGCTTCTTCAATCATCCACGACAGAGCTCGGAGTTCCGCGTACGCACATCCAAATTCGATATCCTTCTCAGGAGATTGATGAAGGCATCCAGGAATGACCTGATGCCCGCTTATACGGCACAGTCGCCAGAGCTTCCTGCATCAGTCTAAGAAGCAAACCTAAGAAGACTTGTCGGTGCCGGGGTGCCTCCAGGTCTACTTGCCGCAAACGATCCAGAAGTACGGAGACAGTACATTAACGGCATGCAGACAAGACACAGGGACGCAGATCCACTCAATGACAATCTCATTGCGCATGTCTTCATCATCAGAGTGAACTGTCAGATCTGCAGAGAGAAAGACTGATCAGCGCAATGTCTTTGAGAAGAATCTCACTCGAGAACTACTCCTACGAGATGCTGAAGACACAGTATCATGATCCTTTCATTAGGACAGCAACACCTAAACACCAACTACATCCTAGAACAAGATGAAGAAGGACATGAAGGACTCATGGCAAAGCAAGACGAAGAGACATTATGGGTTCTCGAGGAGAATGACGCGATCGTTGCCAGAAAAGTGTCCGGGCGGAATTTGAGATTCGGGAAAAGGCATAGGAAAGTCCAGAAGCAAAAGAGCAGTCACCGACGAGGTGGCTTCAACCCCTTTCGCAAGAGCGCATCCGGCGGGACGACCAGGCATGTTGGGGAACAACTTTTGATGGAAACAGAGTTTATCCATCCTATGAGAATGGCAAAGGAAAAGGTGGACAGGATAAAGGCAAATCGAAAACGTTCGCAGCCATCGCAGAGAAACCGGAGGAGCATCCTGCCACATTGCAAATTGAGCCTACCTATGCCGGTTGGAATGGCCAAGATTGGGGTCGGATTTGGAGCGAAGCAGGCTGGCACTCATCCCATGAGATATCCAGTACAGCACACGGGATGATGGCAATCCATGAGAAGCTTCTCCGTCGCCACCAATCACAGCCTTTTGGCAACCAAGTTGATGGCGCCTGTCATCAACCCACAGAACGATCCAACCTATGCGATCCTGGGCAACAGATGTACCAGTTCCATGGGCAGCTGGCACGCAACGCATCCTACATTGATCCTCAGAACATCATTGCTGCATATTCCGCAAAAGGTACTCGCGTTCAGCCACGGAGACAAAGAAGAGGAGATTCCACCGATCCTGACTATTGCAAGGTGCCGAATCCATTGCATCTGGCCTAAATCCCGAACTATTGACAAGAGTCATAGAATGTAGTGAAAGATTTGAAAACCCATGCGGGCCTGCCTGACGCATTCGAGAAGTAAGCAATATCGTCCGATACTCATATGTTTACGCATGCATACTGGGTTAGTGTGGAAGATAAAAAGAAGTTTGTGTGTTTTGTGTGTTTGCTTTTGCTTCGCATTGACTCATTGATCTTCCCACAACCACATTGCGCTATAGAGGACGAAAAGAACCTTCCGGCACGCTCTTACAGTATTGCTACAACAACCAGTCTCTACATCCATTACAGGGACATCGTTGGATCCTCTTGAAACAGGTCCAGGGAGCATAGCGAGACCGCACCCACAATTGGTGCTCCCTCCGTAGTTTGGGACTCAGCCCCGCCCCCTCGCAATAGTCCTCCAACACGCTTTCTGTTGTCTCCAACACGCTTTCTGTTGTCGGCGGCTTTAGGGCTTTGTGCCCCCCCCCTCTTCGCTTGGCAAAATTGAACTGCTGCGCAAAGATGTCTTGCCTGAGAAAGCAAACAAGAGCTGTCCTTGTAGTCGAAGACCAGATGCTTGATTTTAGTCTGTAACATAAGCAGCTAGGCATGCTGTAGCTGGAAGCAAAACAACTCTTAGTGGGATGTGCTCAAGCATTTGCATTTTCCGCCTCTTTGGGCCTCGGCAAGGCGTGCCCCCACGGCAAACTCCGCCACTGCTGCAGTAAGTGCGACTCGGCCCATTGGACCAAGCTTCAGCCTTGGCGCACGGAAACCGCTGGGTCCGGCACTTGTTTCGGTGGGTTTGGTGGCTTTGGGGTGTCTTTGTCGTCGCTGGGCGTTTCTGTTGTCGTTAGCCAACCACTCTTGTGGTCGGCATAGGTCCCGTCAGATGTTTGGTTGCCTCCAAGCCATCAGTTCCACACTGGAGTAGCTAGTGTTAAAACCCTCCTGGCCCCGTGCCTAAATTGGGAAGCAGTTCTGAGGTCCGTGTTTGTATTGCTTACAAGGTTCCATTGATTGCCATTTGGCTCAAGTCACAAGTGAGGTTCAAGATCTTATGTGAAGCTGCGTTCATACGTGATCGGCAATTGAGAGCGGAAAACACTTCGCTTGCGCTGCATTTGTCAGGACCACTGTTGTAACTATTATTCCTTCTCCCTTACAACAGTTACACGGGTTCGGCTATAACGGTTTGACCGTATACACCTTTCTACGTGGTTGGTATTTACAGCTGGAGGGTTCGGTGGACAGCGTCCCACGGGACGTCACCTTGCCGTCTCTTGACAGGTTATCAGCCGTAACGACAAGCTCTACACTGGACAGAGAGACAGCTGGTTTATTGCGGGTACAGGGACAATAAAGGGACAATAACCTACACGGTACAATGGCATCTTCAGCGAGCCCAAGTACTGCAACTTTTGGGAACAGCAGCTCAGAGGGATCCAATGGATTGATGGCTCTTCCTGCGGTGATGGATTTGGTCGCAGATTCACAGGATGAACCTGGGAGCGGAGGATCCGCGCTATTCAGCGACATATCCACTCCTACAAGATCATGGAAGCAGATCGATGTTCGTCAGGAGTCGAAGCAAAGAGAATCCCCGCCGAGAAGATCATCATCTTCGCCTGCGACACCACGGACGTCGCAGAAGGGCGTGAGGTCAACATCAAAAGGTGGGAGGTCTAAATCACCCACCAGTGCAGAGTTTCGCGCCGCGATTAAAGAAAAGAACAAGATGGAGATGGAGATCGGGGAATACCAAAAGACACTTGATGAAATGTCGGCAGCAATGGCGAATCTTCATCAAGAAGACTATGGGAGCACCATCCGGATCCAGGAGCTGGAGAGACGATGCGAGATTGCCAGCAAGCAGTCGGGACATCTTGTGAGTCACCACCAACACCACATGGCTGAGGCATGGCGCAAGTTTGAGGAGGAAGCCCAACAGATGCGCAAGGTGGAAATGAATGCATATCAGTACGGGGAAAAGAAAGACATGGAGTCGAATGTTATAATACAACAGATGAGACAAGCTGAAGGAACTATTATGGAGCAGAAGCGGGAGATTGCAGTGATGAAATCCTACATGGCAAGCGAGAAGTCGGCCGCGCAGGAATCAGCTATACGTGCAAATCAGATACACCGTGAGGCTTCACAACAAATATCAGTTTATCAGCAACAGATCAGAGGTATTGAATCGTCTACATCTATCGAGAAGTTCAACGAGGAGGAGATGGTCCAAAGTCTAAAATCACAGTTGGAGCATGCACTCGTCAAACGCCCCGAGACGTACTCTATGGAGGACTCCAGGGAGCAGCTGATGGTGAGACTGAACGACGTTACAACATTCGCGGAGCAAGAATCGAAGAGAGCAGAGTGCTTACCTCGCGAGAAAGAAGAGATCGTCAAGCAGTACGAATCCGACGTATTGAAGAAGGACCAGATGATTGCTATCGAGGGTAGTCATCGTCAAGATGCGATCTTGGAGTTAGCCCAGGTCAGAGAAGCAAAACAAGAAGAGCGGTGCACGATGGACGAGAAATCGAAAGAGGCCGAGTACTGGAGATTGACAGCTAAAGGAGTGTGTGATGAGTACCTCGAGGAGATGCGTGAACTTCAGGGACAACTGAAGGATCGGGAGGCGACGCTCAAGCAAGAAGAGAGTTTTGTTCGTCAACTCGATGCTGACAATGAGGAACTACGAGCACTCAAGAAGCTGGAAACACAGGAAGCCTCTAGCAGTAAAGATGGACATCGTGAACGAGCAGTAGTGAAACGCGCTGAGGGAGGACCCCAAGCTAATTCGACTAGGGTAGACAAGAGGGTGACTGGGTTATTCCCGTCATCGACATCGAATCTGATCCCTAATTCGTCACTAATGCCAGGTTCGATTCTCTTTCCGTCTTTTGGTGATCCAATGATCGATGTACACCTATCCCAGATGCAAGGGGTTGTTGGGCGTGTCCCACAATCCGCTACTACAGCTGGTGGTAGTGGTGATGGAGGGGGAAACAACGGTACTACACCCCCATTGGATTACGGTGGATTCTCGCCCAATGGAAATAGACAAGGGGCAGGTCGACGTCAGTTGAGCCTCACAGGTGGCGGAGGAGGACCTCCGGATGATCCACCCGATGATGAGGACGAGGATGACGACGACGAAGAGGATGAAGAGGACGAGGAAGAAGAAGAAGAGGAAGAAGATGACAATCGGACACGGAGGAGGCGCAGAAGATCGAGGGATGATCGAGAAATCAAGAGCGAAAGACCAAGGATTTTGAGGAAAGAAGCCGAGAGGGTGTCTATTCCTGCTTGGCCAAAGATCCATCAACTCGATAACTGGAAGATGCAATTGCTGATGAATGTTCTGAGCGCATGCGCAGATCCAGATACTGACACATGGACGAAATGGTTGGAACAGGCTCTTGGGTTAAACCCAGACCTAAATCTGCTGAGCGACTCCGGCGGCGACAGATTCGCTACGATAGATATCAAAATGGCCATGGGCATGCAGAACATGTTGAAACAAGCACCTGACGAAGCCAAAGACGTGTACCTCGACGCTACGCGACATTCGGAACTACGACATCAACAAGGGGTGATCGTGAAGGGACGAGAGTTGGTGGCATTGGTTATGCAATCATTCAGGACGTCTGATCGAACGGATCTTGTCTACCACATCGAGCACCTATTCAACCTTGACTTTCCTGGAGACAAGAATTTGGTTATATTCAGGAACAAGTGGTATGATTTGTTGCTAAAGATGAGGAGCGAAGATAGACCCAGCAAGTTGGCTCTCAGAGATATTCTCTACAGGAAGATCAAAGGGAGCAAGAAGATGGAGTTCGGCCTCAACGCCTATCATAGGTTGCCGGACAAGCATCCTCAAAAGACGTACGAATTCTTGTTGGCATTGATCGACCATCAAATTAAGGCGGATCGGGAGGACCTGATGCTTGACATGAAGGAGAAATCGGTCAAGTCAATGATGAAGTCGGGCGGCAGAGATGCAGCCCCGGCTACTGGCAAACAGGAGAACCAGGGTGGCAAAGGCAGGAAGGGGAAACCCAGTGGACCTGATGCTGCTCCTGTACTCCCAAAGGCCAAAGCAAAGGGTCACGCTGGCAAGAACGGCAAGTCCGACGGTGCCAGCGACAGAGGCAAGAGTCCGGGCGGAAGTAAAGATAACCCATGTTGGTATCACTTCAAGTCAGCGAAGGGATGCGTAAAAGGGAATGAATGCACATTTTCCCACAGCAAGAAGACGGAGCACAAGCTGGAGAACATGCCCAAAGGGAAAGGAAAAGGTAAGTCCAAGTCCAGATCATCATCACCAAAGAGGGATGATGGAGCATGCTTCGCGTTTCAGAAGGGAAAGTGCGACAAGGGGAGTGCTTGCAAGTATAGGCACGAGCTCATCAAGAACAATTCAGCTCCGGCAACGTCAAGCGACAAGGCGCAAGCCAAGTCGAAGGCTGCCGCCAAAGCCGCAGCGCCAGCTATTGCAAGAAGGGCCATCGCGATGCCTGCGATAGTCTTGAAGCAATCGGCTCCTGCGGGAAAGGTCAGCTTCAAGAAGGACGTTGACCAGGTCGAACCGGATGAAGCCGAGACTGTCTACCACGAGCATGATGACGACGCAATGAGCGAATCATCAAGATGGTCTGGCGAGTCCGAGATCCCCGAGAAAATGGTATGGTTCAAGGAAGTACTCGATGTCGACGAGAATGGGGAGATCACCTATCTCGAAGACGAGAGAAGGCAATGGGAACGAAAAGGGGAGTGGTACGGCTATGAGGACAATGAGAATGAGCCTTATCAGTACGTGCACGTCGACGAGAAGAAGTTTAAGAGCAGTGATCATCGAGAATTATCAGCCTATCAAGTCCAACGATCATTGATAAGAGCGAAAATACTGAGAGAGGTGGTAGACGACATATACAGGAAACACTACTTCCCAGTAACCAAGGAGAGCACCATAATGTTCGAATATGATCGGAGCAAGGACGAGATCAAGGAATCGGCCGTCGACTGGAAGAAACAGCATGGTTTGCCGAAGAATGTGTTCGCAATGTCAACGTGCATCAGCAAACGGGTGAAATGGTTGATGGACACCGGATGTGGTCATGATCTCATTGGACGAGCCAAGGCAAAGAGCCTGGGTGTCGATATTGTGAAAGATGATGATGAGATTGTGTTCCAGACCGCAAATGGTTCCACTTCCACATCCGACGTGGCCAAGATAGTCGTGGACGAGTTGGACGAGACTGTCGAGCCGCACGTGTTGGACGAGACGCCCACGGTGTTGTCAATAGGGAGGAGATGCATGAAGATGGGTTATGCATTTCACTGGATGCCTGGTAAACTACCTTTCATGGTTACACCAAAGCAGGGATTCGTGCACTTACAAGTCAAGGACGACATCCCATACCTCGTGAGTGATGGTAAACTTCGGAGTAACAGGCATCGCCCTACGGTAGACGACCTCAAGGAGCATTTTTCGGAAGTATTGGCAATGGTAACGAACGATGAGGCAGATCAGGATGGCGACGATGACACCGAGGTCACACCCGCCGCTGTCGGTGAATCCGCAGAGGTCGAGGGCGAGCGCCATGATGGTGCGTTTGACTTCGGACCACCCGGAGGAGCCGGTCCGGTACGTCCGCCTCCCGTAGCTGAGGAAATACCTGTAGACGTTGGGCCAGTCCCATGTCGACATGGTGATGC